TGTTCAGCATCTTAGCTGTAGAGGGCAGTGTCACTGGCCCTCATATGTGGGATCTGAACCGGGGCCCTCTGGCATCCCAAGCCAGCTCTTAACCAACACGCCACTTGGCAAGCCCTCTTGTTTCTTGAGGTATGCCTGTATAGCTATAAACTTCCCTCTTAGTACTGCTTTTGCTGAAACCCATAATTTTGGAAATTTGTGTTTTCATTGTCATTTGTCTTGAAGTAGTTTTTGAGTTCCTGTTTGATACCCTTGTTGATCCCTTGGTTGTTTAGTACCATGTTTTTTAGTCTCCACATATTTGTGTGTTTTCCAGTTTTCATTTTGTTGTTGATTTCTAGTTTCTTGCCCTTGTTGGTTAACATACGTGATATGGTTTTAATCTTCTTGAATTTATTGAGGCTTATTTTGTGGCCTAATATATGGTCTATCCTGAAGAATGTTTCATGTGCACTTGAAAAAAATAATGTATTCTGCAGTTTTTGGATGAAATGTTCTACAAATGTCTATTAAGTCAATCTTGTATAATGGGTCATTTAAGGCCACTATTTCCTTACTAATTTTCTGTCAGGTTGATCTATCCACTGATACGAGAGGGGTATTAAAGTCCCTTACTATTTTATTACTGTAGATTTCTTCCTTTATGTCCATTAATAATTGCTTTATGTATTTAGGTACTTCTATGTTGGGTGTATAGATATTTACGATTGTTAGGTCCTCTTCTTGGATTGGACCCTTTATCATTATGTGCTGTCCTTCTTTGTCTGTTTTTACATTCTTCATTTTAAAGTCTATTTTGTCTGATACAAGTATTGTGACTCCAGTTTTCTTTTCATTTTTATTTGTATGAAATATATTTTTATCCCTTCACTTTCAGTGTATATAAAGTGGTCTCATGAGAAGTGGGCTCTGTGTGGGTTGTGTGTGCAGGGTGGTTTGGGCAGGCTGGTTGGAGCCAGGCGGGTGCTTATGGCACCCAGGGCACTGGCCTGCTGGGCTGGAGAGGCTCCGGGTGGGGAGGCCAAGTGCGTGTGGTGATGCCCTCCTGTAGATCCTACTTGCTTCCTTTGTTCGGATCCAAAATGGGCTCTAGGCGATGTGTCCGGGAATGCAGCAGCCACCTTGCAGGTAGGCCAGAGCACCTGGATAGAGCTCCTATAAAGCTGCCCTATGGAGGTGATGGAGGTGGAGGGGCATGTAAACAATAACGTTCATCAGCCCCTCGAGTCCCAGAGAATTCAAGCAGATCCCAGAGGTCATGGTTCCCCAGCCTTCTCTCTACAGTTTCTGTCTGTCTGTTGTGCAGAAGCTGTTCAGTTGCCCTCAGATGTTCTCAGGAGAACTTGCTCTCTATATGGGTGTATATTTCAGTGTGTTCCTCTGAGGGGTGAGTTCAGCATCTTCCTATGCCACTGCCATCTTGGACCTCTCTCCCTTTTTTTAAAATAAATTATTTGCATACGTTGGTACTTCTTTTTGCAAAAAATTACTTGGAATGCATCTCACAACTGCTCACTACATACCATCGCCTGGATTGAGGCAACAGAATTGAGAGCCTGGGTCTGCACTCATGAGAGCCTGCTTAAAAATATGTGGATTCCAATTTCGGATGGTGATGCTACTGATATTAATTTTGATACCTCTCAAAAGCCCCTGTATGTAGTCCATCAGTTTGTCTATTGGGAGGAGTAGGGAACACAGTGGTGTCATATAGTTATTAAGAGTTCAAACAGACCTGCTTTAGAACCCTTAGGCTGCCACACTAGCACTGTGGCCTTAGGCAAGTCAGCTAAGTTTCTTCATTTGTAAAGTAAGAATAATGATAGTTCCTACTTCTGATGGTTACTGTGAAAGTGAAATAAGATAATCTGTGTCAGTCAATTAACTGTTATTTTTTGGAGGAGGTAGGTTAGAAATTGACTGGGAACGTCTGTCTCAAAGGGGAAGAGCAGACCTGGGAACCTGGGCCTGATTTTCTCTGCTCCTGGGGGGCAGGGGCTGTGTAAGATGTCTCTTGTGCTCACAGAGCTGAGCACCCTGTAGATGCTCTGAATGTTTGTACAAGATGTTTAGAGACCCGCGGTTCTGTTCTCATCTTTAATCTGCAGCCTGGACAAAGAAGATTGGCCATGAGTGAAGAACACAAGAAAGAAAAGCTCAAGCAAACTGCCAGAATGACACTGGAGCAGTCTGCCAGTCTGTATACAAGTCATTGGGATTTGGTAGGAATCAGGGGAGCTCTGCTCAGACAGCCACGTCTCCATTTTTTAGGACTGAGAGAGCCGCAGAAGTTGAGCAACAAAGAGGAGGGCCCAGTGAGGGCATGGCTTTTGACTCAGGCCTCTCTCCACAGGCTGCTGAAAAGGGTCACGCGGACATCTGCTCCCTCCTGTTGCAACACAGCCCCGCCCTGAAGGCTGTCCGGGACCGGAAGTCACGACTAGCGTGTGACCTGCTGCCCTGCAACAGTGACCTGCGGGACTTACTGGCCGGCTGAATCGCCACCCTTCTGTTTTAGGCTGCCAGGCAAGGGTACACAGACTAGGTCTTCAAGCCCCTGCCGTGCTCAACATCAATGCTGCAGGATAGGAAACTGAGGTCCGGAGACCCATTTTGGCCACTGGGAGTGAGGGAGTAGATTAGGTGGGGCTGCAAGTGCGGAAGCCTGGGCAGGGAGTCGGTCCTATTCTAAACGAGTCCACATGGAAATATCTATCCGTTTCGGAAATAAAGTTATATCCTTGCCTTGTCCCATGCTTACAGTTAAATTTCGAGTAGATTCAAGACCTAAACTAAAAAACAAATCTGTAAGTATTAGAAGCAGCTATGGAATATATGACAAATTAAAAGCAGCTTTTTAGCTGAGTGACCTTGGTAAGTCACTTTACCTGTCGGTCCTCATTTCTTCTTCTATAAAATGAGAATGATTATAATAAGGCCCGCCTCAAAGTCATTGTAGGGGTTGAAAGGGTGGCGATATGAAGAGCATTGGCAAAGGTGCCTGGCACATTGCATGCACATTGCACATCCTCCAAACCTGATCAGCACTCATCAGTAGAGCATAATTTCATTAATTTTAACAATCTGATAGATTTAAAAGTGCTACAGCTTTGTCTTATTTTGTATTGCTGATGACTAGTCAGGTGAACTTCCTGTCCATACCCTTTGTCCATTTAAATTTTTTTCTTTTTATTGATTCATGGGAATTGTTTATGTATTATGGATATTGATCCTATGTTTTATATATATGTACTAGTATATATACATATTTTTCCCCTTTCATACTGTCACTTGTCTTAACTCTGTTGGTATCTGTTCATGAAAATTGGTACAGCCACTGTAGATGGCAGTTTGGCAATATCTATTAAAAAAATTTTTTTTTTTTNGCTCACGCTGGCTGCTGGCTACACACAGTAGCCCATGACAACCCACTGCCACAGGGGCTGCAGCCTACGCCGTCGCCTGCGACTCACAGCAGCCCAGCTCCAGGTTGAGCTGTTGTTCATCATCTTAGCTGTGGAGGGCAGTGTCACTGGCCCTCATATATGGGATCCGAACCAGGGCCCTCTGGCATCCCAAGCCAGTTCTTAACCAACGTGCCACTCGGCCGGCCCGATTGCTTATTTCTTAATGGCCTGATGAACTGGTGCTGTTCAGACGTTTTACTGTCGTAAATCACATGACAGATGTTTACAGGCATGGATATACCTGGCATCTAGATGGCGTGCAGCATTTTCTTTATTTTAAATTAAAAAATTTTTTTCAATTACAGTTGACCTCCAATATTATATTAGTTTCAGGTGTACAACATAGTGGTTAGACATTTATATAAATTGCGAAGTGATCCCCCTGACTAGTACCCACCTGGCACTATAAATAGTTATTACCATGTATTGACTGTATTCCCTGTGCTTTACTTACATCCTTGTGGCTGCTTTTATAACTGGCAATTTGTACTTATTAATCTGTTCACCTTTTTCACCCATCTCCCTAACCCCCCTCCTACCTGGTACCCCTCCTACATCAATTTGTTCTCTATATCTATGAGTTTGTTTCTGTTTTGTTTGTTCATTTATTTTGTTTTTTTATATCAACATGTAAGTGAAATAATATGGTATTTCTCTTTCTCAGTCTGACTTATTTCACTCAGCGTAATATCCTCTAGGTCCGTCCATGTTGTGGCAGATGGCAAGATTTCATTCTTTTTTTTGGCCAAGTAATATTCCATTATCTATATGTACCACTTCTTCTTTATCCATTCATCTATTGATGGACAGTTGAGTTGCTTCCATATCTTGGCTATTGTGAATAATGCTGCAGTGAACACAGGGATGCAAATATCTTTTCAACTTAACTGTTTTTGTTTTCTTTGGATAAATACCCAGAAGTGGGATTGCTGGGTCATATAGTAGTCCTGTTTTGAATTTTGTGAGAAACCTCCATGCTGTTTTCATAGTGGCTGCACCACTTTGCAATTCCACCAACAGTGCACAAGGGTTCCCTTTTCTCCACATTGTCACCAACATTTGTTTTGGTTGGTTTTTTTGATAATAGCCATTCTGACAGGTGTGAGGTGGTATCTCATTGTGGTTTTAATTTGCGTTCCCCTTTTTAGTGACGTTGAGCATCTTTTCATATGTCTGTCGGCCATCTGTATGTCCTCTTTGGAGAAATGTCTATTGAGGTCCTCTGCTTATTTTCTACTTGGATTTTTTAATTGATGTTAAGTTGTATGAGTTCTTCATATATTTTGGATATTCCCCTTATCAGATATATCATTGCCAAATATCTATCTCATTAGGGTAGGTTGTTTTTCTGTTTTGTTGATGGTTTCGTCCACTGGACAAAAAGTTAGTTTGCTATAATCCCATTTGTTTATTTTTGCTTCTGCTACCCTTGCCCGAACAATATTCCAAAAGATATTGCTAAGACCGATGTCAAAGAGTTTACTGCCTATGTTTACTTCTAGCGTTTGTATGATTTCATTTTTACACTTTTAAATTCTTACATTTAAGTCTTTAATCCATTTTGAGTTTATTTTTGTATATGGTGTAAGAAAGTGGTGCACTTTCATTTTTTGCATGTATCTGTCCATTTATTTTATTTTATTTTATTTATTTATTTTTATTATTATTTTTAGCTGAGCCATCCTGCCACCTGTTGGCAGCTCAGCGGCAGCTCAGCTCCTGCCAGGAATCGAAGCACTAGTTACTCAGAGCTCACACTCTTGAGCGAGCTCTTAACCCAACTAAGCCACTCGGCTGGCCCCTGTCTGTCCATTTATTGAAGAGATTTTTATCCCATTGTATATTCTTGCCTCCTTTGTTGCAGATTAATTGACCATATAGGCATGGGTTTATTTCTGGGCTCTGTTCTCTTCCATTGATCTATGTGTCTGTTTTTATGCCAGTACCATGCTGTTTTGATTACTATAGCCTTGTAGTATAGTTTAAAATCAGGGAATGTGATACTTCCCACTTTGTTCTTTCTCAAAACTTCTTTGGCTATTTGGGGAATTTTTTTATTCCACGTCAATTTTAAGAGTAGTTTTTCTAGTTCTGTGAAAAATGCCATGGGTGTTTTCATAGGGATTGCATTGAGTCTGTCTATTGCTTTAGATAGTAAGGCTATTTTAACAATATTAATGTTTCCAATCCATAAGCAAAGTATACCCATCCATTTTTTTGTGTGTCTTCTTCTCTCATCAGTGTGTTATAGTTTTCAGAGTATAGGTCTTTCACCTCTTTGGTTAAATTTATTCCTAAGTATTTCATGCTTTTTGATCCCATTGTAAATGGGATTGTTTTCTCAGTTTTTCCTTCTGATCATTCATTATTGTTCTATAGAAATGCAACAGATTTCTGTATATTGATTCTGTATCCTGCAACTTTACTGAATTCATTTATTCTAATAGTTTTTTGGTGGAGTCTTTAGGGTTTTCTATATATAGTATTGTGTCATCTGCAAATAGTGAGAGTTTTACTTCTTCCTTTCCAATTTGGATAACTTTTATTTCCTTTTCTTGTCTGATTGCTGTAGCTAGGACTTCCAATACTATGTTGAAAAGAAGTGGTGATGAGAGTGGGCATCTTTGTCTTGTTTCTGATCTTAGAGGAGAACCTTTCAGCTTTTCTCCATTGAGTATGGTATTAGCTGTAAGTTTGTCATATAGCCTTTATGTTGAGGTATGTTCCCTCTATACACACTTTGTTGAGAGTTTTTATCAATAAAGGATGTTGAATTTTGTCAGATGCCTTTTCTGCATCTATTGAGATAATCATATGATTTTTATCCTTCATTTTGTTGATATAATGTATTATGTTGATTGATTTACACATGTTGAACCACCCTTGCACATCTGGGATAATTCCCACTTGGTCATGGTGTATGATCCTTTTAATGTATTGTTGAATCTGGTTTGCTAATATTTTGTTAAGAATTTTTAACTCTTATATTTATCAATATTGGCCTGTAATTTTCTTTTTTTGCAATGTATTTGTCTTGTTTTGGTATCACTGTAATAATGCTGGCTTTGTAGAATGAGTTTGGAAGCATTCCTTACTCTTCAATTTTTTGGAATAGTTTGAGAAGGATAGGTATTAATTCCTCTTTACATGTTTGGTCCTAGATTTGTTTGTTGGGAGTTTTTTATTACTGCTTCAGTTTCATTGCCAATAATCAGTCTGTTTAGGTTTTCTATTTCTTTCTGGTTCAGCCTTAGAAGGTTGTATGCTTCTAGAAATATATCCATTTCTTCCATGTTGTCCAGTTTGTAGGCATATAATTGTTGATAGTATTGTTTAATGATCCTTTGTATTTCTGTGGTGTTGGTTGTAACTTTTCCTCTTTCACTTATGATGTTATTTATTTGGGCTCGCTCTCTTCTTGTGAGTTTAGCTAACAGTTTGTCAGTTTTGTTTATCTTTTCAAAGAATCAGCTCTTAGTTTCATTGATGTTTTCTATTGTTTTTTAATTTCTATCTCGTTTATTTGCATTCTGATCTTTACTATTTCCTTCTATTTATTGTGGGTTTTGTTTGTTCTTTTTCTAGTTCCTTTGGATGTAAAGTTAGATTGTTTATTTGGGATTTTTCTTGTTTCTTTTAGTTTTTTTTAAAGATTTTTATTGGGGAATTGGGGGATGGGAACAGCGCTACGGAATCGGGGGAAGGGGAACAGAAAAGTTGTTGTCTTTTTGTTCTTCAGTCTAGTTGTGGAGGACATTGCTTCACTGGCCCAAGTTGGCACCGTCATTGCGCTCTTCCCAGGCGAGGCCGATCAGTCGCCGGCTTCTGGACAGCCGCCCACTGCGGCTGCTGGCCGCTCACGCTGGCTGCTGGCTACACACAGTAGCCCATGGCAACCCACTGCAGCAGTGGCTGCAGCCTATGCCGTTGCCGGCAACTCACGGCAACCCAGCTCCAGGTTGAGCTGTTGTTCAGCATCTTAGCTGTAGAGGGCAGTGTCACTGGCCCTCATATGTGGGATCTGANAAAAAAAAAAAAAAAAAAAAAGGTTGCCTTTGCCTGGCCCTTATGGGGTTCACTTGTCTGGGTCAGTTTTTATGACAGATTCTTAGCTTGGGGGTTTGCTCCCTGGGAGTAATGTAGGTAGATTAAATAGTTTCCACACCTCCAAGTTGCTTAGGTTCAGGCATCAGGTTTTTTTCTATTTCTTCTGCCTTTGTTGTTTTCTCACACCTGTTCAAATGGTGCTGTTCCTCATTTCCTTTAGGTTTCTGTTGAAATGT